AAATATGAGTTTCTATCAATGGTTGTTGCCATTTTTATTTACAACAGTTAATAATAATAAAAACCGCTTAATGTATATACCATGTAAGTGGAATATATTAGACTGAATTTTGAATGAATTATCTAAACAAATGAAAATAGTAAGCACAGCTCAGAAACTTCAATGAAATTGAGTGAATACATCGAATATAATGGCATTAGGCTTTTCCTTAGTTACCATTATATATAACTTCCGGCAAAATATTTGTGTATTAATAGATATTATACTAGCTATGACAGAATAAAATATTATGAAACACGAAACGTATTAATGCAAAAAATACTTACTAAGCCTTTAAATAAATACACTATAATGAAGTTAATTATCTTCAGTAATTCACACAAAACAAAACATTAAATCTTGCATCATAAGCCTTGTAATGTTTTGTAATATTTCAGTAAATTTATAAAAGTTTTGTATTTGAAATGGGAAATTATTTAATTAAAAAACTTGCCAATCTGCAGCATTATGCATCATATTTAGGCAGTCTATAGACCAAGGTTAGGTTAAAGATAAAAGGATATCCCCACTCGATGATGATTTTAGCATATTTTCTTATCACATTCTCCTCAGAGAAGATGAATAATGATTTAGTTCCCGAGGCCTGAATGCCTGGAAGGCCAAGCAACATCGTCCGCTTAGCCAAGCTGCGCATTGAAGTGTTCCGCGAACTATCTCCCGCCATGTAAAGTCCGTTAGTCCAAACTGCTCCATTGTTGCCATTTGAACCGCCTACCGGTCCGAGTCCACAGGCCGTAGCCGAGGTTGATACAGCAGGAGGCCCGGGTCCCCGGGCTAGTGGTCCAGTTGATAGATCTCTTGACGTCAAAAAACCGGTGGACTGAGCCACTGTCCCAGCGTGCATGTCGGACGATTGTCTCCACGCTTCCATGCAGGGGTAGTGGTCGCTTGCTGGAATTTTTGCCATTTCAATCCTGCCGTACAGACAGTCCCCATCTGGTTTAAGGCAAGTCGCATAGTCAGCCTCGTACCGAGCATCGTATCCTGGGCCAGGGCCGGGGAATAAGGTGAAGACGTTTGCATTGGCCGATGATAGAAATGAATGATTCGATTGAGGTTGAGTAAATTCCGCATCCATTCTCGCGGCTTGACTCCAGCCGCCAACCGGACACGGGCTTTTCAACGTTGGCTGATAGCCCCAGCAACTGTAATCGACGTATCCGGGCGGAAATTGCTGATTTCCCGCCAAACGAGGGCTCCGAATGCTGGGAATATGTCTTTCCTGGGCTGCATAAGCCCAGCTCTTTGTCGCATCTGTAGCATAATTACATGTTCGCCAATTTCTACGATTTAAATCCTCCCCTCCTAATGACCCCTCATCAAAATCCAATTCGTCTCTTTCCCCGACTCTTCCCTTTCCATCGTCTGCGCCACTCATCTCGACAAGCCCGCAGCCTCTTCGGCTCTCCTCCTCTCTGCCTTGCCTATTCTTTTGCAGCCTCTTTCCTTCCTCTTCATCTCTTCTTCCTACTTCTTCTTCTTCTGCTTCTTCCTCCTCTTCTTCTTCTTCTTCCTCATCGTCACTTTCTTCTTCGTCCGCATCTTTTTCGAATTTCTTCCGATTCACGCATTGCCTGATTTCGACCCCGGCGTTTCTCACCATCCGATAAGACCGCTCACCTCCGGCGACAGATTGCCCCCGGCCGGTTGCAAGAAACCGATCCACATGAAGACTCATCCTTGCCGGAAATTGAGCTCAAGCGATGCGGCTGAAACTAGGGCCTTCGAATGCTCGGCATTGAATGAAACCAACCTCCACTCTCTCTCTCTCTCTCTCTCTCTCTCAATTTGGCACACGCGCAAATAGGCATAGACCGGCTGAAATGGACACACGCACATGTAGCAAAGTGAGCAATTTGAAGCAAGTCCAAGAGATCGGGCGCTAAGTTGTGCAAAGCACAGTCGCACAGGTAATCCGTTGACGTGCTGCTTCTCCCGATGTCGACTGCTGGTCGGGATTAGTCCGCGAATGGCAGAAATGACTGTGGCAGAATGGGAAGTTATTCCATACTGAATGGTACAACTGGTGCTTGCAGCAGAAAATCTTATTTTCCACCTGAAAGCGAGCCTACCCACTGGTCACATTGAGCAGCCCAGAGTCAATATTAGATCCAGCCGACAGCATGCCCAGGTGGCTAATGGGCAAATTAGCCAGTTGAGTTTCTGCTCAGGCCGGTGTGATAGAAATCAGTGTGTCTATTGGACGAGTAGTAGTCTCCGGCCGTCTCCTTGAGACCCCAACAGAAGGCTCCACTCACTTTCCCTTCTGGTTGACCATGTGATATTCGAAGTGTACACTCCACTCGCTCTATTCTCACTCTCTTCACCTCGTCCAGTGCTCATGGACGCCGACCTATCGGTAGCTCCGACCTGTCCATCCCTCCGACCGGCAATATTTCACAGTCTGTCTACTCTCTGCAGTCGTCAGTTCACCTCGAATCAGGGGCAGGGCTATGTTGCCACGAGAAAGAGCTGGCAGCAGGCTTTCATTACGCACAGGCCATTCGGCCAATTGGAGAGGACGACAGAGTTTAGCAATGAGTAGGTTGTAATTAACTGGATTAACCAAAGAACACAGCAGACTTTGCAATATAATCTTGTGGTAAATATGCTCGACTAAACAATTATTTTCGCCCATTCATTCCCCCACAGCGCAGGGAAATCCCCAATTCTGTCTACCTACACACTCTCGATTATGACCAGCCATCAAATCGCGCACATGCATCTACTGTCTCTTTTGGGTTGCTCTTCACTAGCACATCTCTCACATCGCTTCCTTGAACCCTTCCACGTGTAGGCATGGCCACATCGTCTGTTCCCACTCGTCTATGCACGAACGCACTTACGCCTGTCAGCACCATGTTTGCATTCCTGTCGGCTCATCAATCTGCAATTGGCAACCGGTTGTCAACTTTCGCCCCAAACTGGCGGCACC